CCCTTTGTACGAACAAAAGTAAGAGAAATTTAGGATAAGAATACGAACATGTTCTTGCATGAGGCCCAATGAGTGTACTCCTAAAGACTCCAAGTACACAACAAAATGCATTTAACAGCTGAAAAAGTGTATTTTGCATGTGTCCTGTTAAACATTTGTAGCATTTTGTTTGTTTAAACCCACACTTCAGTGATGTAAAACAGGCTGCYAAATGTTGACAACCCTTCCTAATGCATCTCACAGCACGTGTGTTAAATCCACTGACTGTCCCTTTAATATACGCTGATTAAAATGGAATCGAAGCATGAAGACCATTTAGYCAAATAAAGATTCATTTTCAAGTGATTTCGGTGTTTGTTTAGACACACCAACGCTTTGAAAAGTAGTCCTTTACTGACCCAATGATGAACTTCATCTTCCCCCTGCGAGCGGCATCCACCATRATGGGAACCAGCTGTGGATCCCGAGGACCAAAGATGCCATGAGGTCGAATGGCGACTGTGAGGAAACCTTTCTGCTTGTCACACGCCTCCAGGACCAACTAAAACACAAAATTCAGAAGGTTTAGAAGAGTGAGGTGCTGTTAACCGTTTGTTCTCTACAATCTGAGTCTAGGACATATGATGGACATCCTGATCTTACCAAAATAGCTGCATAAATGAGACTTGCAAACTCTGGAAACTACACTAGCTTTTCAAAATGAAGAGGCACCGGAAACTCTCACCTTCTCCTGTTTGATTTTGGTCTGTGTGTAGTAGTCGATGGGCTTCTTGGCGTACGGCAGATCCTCTCTTCCATTTTTAATGTCCGTCCCTTCAAACACCACGCTGGCACTGCTCGTCAAGACCAGTTTCTGGCAACACCAAACGTTTAAGACACTTTAAAAACTCCTCACTCTGCAAGGAATACTTAAGGGAAATAAAATAGTTCCACACATTACCTGTACTCCAGCCTGGATGCAGGCCTCGATGACCGTCTTTGTGCCCTGAATGTTGACCCTCTCAAACAGAGCACGATCGTCGCTCCCTGGGGCTGGAGAGGCGCAGTGGAAAACCAGAGATACGTCCTTCAGAGCCGACAGCAGAGCCTGCAGGAAACAGAACAGATACCTCACAGCCTCCGACATTTACATTATTATCATTACTTCTTTATCGCCTATCTTATACGTTATAAAAAAACATGAAACTTTGCGCTAAAGCTGACGTTATATTGCCTTATATGTATTAGCTCAGCGCTAAACTGAGGTCCTCCATCCATATTTTCAGTTGCAGGCTGAGTCATTTTTATGTTCYCCTCTCTGTCATGTGGATGGAGGACCACAGTGAAGAGAGGACAATGTGTAGCACCGAGCTAATACATATATATATGGTGATAGCATCGGGGCTAATACTAAAGC